TCATGTCGAATGACCCAACGATGAATTCTCAGTCTGACGTGACCAGTCGTAAAACTTCATTTTCCAGGTTCAAAACAGCGCCTCTTCGCTGGGAAGTCATTACCCACGGGTAAACCCCGTTGTGACAGACCGTACTATTGTCAGTGTCGGCATCAGCATCTTCTCCAACAGATGGTGGGGTGAGCTCCCGTTCCTCAGTGCTGACCTCGCTCAATCCACCGGTATCATCTCGAGACGTGCCCTCTTGAAAATGAATCTGCAATCCTGGATAGTTAACATGAAGCCAATTGCCGTTCACTTTGACAAGCATGGCCTGCTCGTTCACCGACTGTATCTGCAGTCCCGCTTTACCATCAACGGTAGCCGTCACAAAGCCCATGGATCCCTCGTTCACCCCTTCAGGGCTCGACCCGCATTGCCGCAATCGCCTCTGCTGTTGCTGCTCTTTCTTTTGATGTCGCACAACTCTGTCCACTCTCTTCAACTTCGCTCGGAGCTCCCGGATGCTCGGCCGTTGATCAGGATGATCTTGAAGATTCGACTCCATCAGCTTGGCTCCAGTGCAAAGCGTCACTCTCCCTCGAATGTGCCGCTCGGGCAGGGTCATATCTCGCTTATGGACGAAGCCATGTTTCTCATACCAGCTAATAGCATTCTCACTGGCGTAGGTGATCACATAGTGAACCCCGCTAGAAGCCAATAGTGCAAGCCAGCGTTTGAGCAACCACGAACCAAGACCCTGACGCTGCCGTGTGAAGTCTACGCTGAAGAAATGAAGCTCACTGAAGCCAAGCTGGAGGTCCAAGTGATGACAGAGAGCTGCTAGCGCTTGGTCAGGCTCGTCCAGGGTGATGAGTGCGTGCATCCGGCTCCGTGCTGATCGACACATTCGGGGTATATACCCTCGATCAAACTCAGGCAAGGTTCTGCCGAAGACTGCAAGACATGACTCCACCAAAGCCGGCGTCATCATGCACTCACTCCGTTCCTTGTCATCGCTCGGAAGAGTCTCTACAGCGCCCATAGAAGCAAAGTCAGATAGCGGCGACTCAGCAATGGACTCTGGAGGAGGCTCAGTCATACTGCCGACAATCCGAAGCCTCGACCGATCCAAAACACCGTGTTTTCGTATCCGCTTATGGTGGAACAGGACATCGATCGTTTCATCGTATAGACCCTTAGTATCGCCCGTGTACCGCACCGTCAACAACGTGCCTCGCACCTCGTACACCGAGGCTTCAAACACTCCTCGCATATCTCCACCGAAGCGCTCATCGTGGAGTATTTTCACCAAATCTCCAACTCGGTAAGTGGTGCTCAACTTCTCATTCTCCTCGACAACAGACGAATGCAAGTTCCGTGCCACTGCCAACGCCGTGCTACTCACAGAGTGAGCATGAGCACAACATGCCGAATCAACTTTCCGAACTACATTCTCTTCCTGATGGGTCGTAGTAATACCCGTCGACTCCATCTCTATATTCTCGCTCTCGCCGGAGTGCTCTGCTACCCAAGTCGGCCGAAGCACATTCGCCGAAGTTACAGCCGCTCCTGCCACCGAGTACGGCGGTCCAGTGCTTGGTCGGATGGTCGCATGGGAGTTCCATAGCCGCTCTTGCTGACTAGCTCTGATCAACGCCGCTTGCGCTCGCGTATATACCGGCGGAGAGGACTTCCCATTCGGTAGCGGGATGCTCACCGCGCCACTACCGTCAGAGGCCTCGTTACCGATCGAACCAGAAGTCGAGTTTTCTGACGTTGTTGCGGAAGTCACCTCAGCTACCTTCCCTCCCTCAGCGACGACTTTCCCCGTCCCCCGACTCTGCTTCTCTACTATCTGTGCCGCCAACAATACGGCATTACGGAGCTGCTCCTGATTGTATTGATGCCCAGGTAGAAGATAGTACTTCGCCATTGCCGCCGCATTCACAGAGACCTTGTTCGTAGAGTTCATACCGACTTTCGCCTTATCACCCGAGGGAGCTCCACTCCCTAATGTCGACCTATTGTTGCTCGAGCGCTCATCCATACCATCATTCTCCGACTTCAAACCCTCCGGCTTCATTACACCGTGTTGCTCACTACCACCATCCCTCGGCGTGGCTGGTTGGGTATTCACCCGTGTGGAAGGCGGTGATGCCTGTGACATGGATCTAGCTTCCTCCTTCGAGAAAAGTCGTCGAAGAAACAAAGATACTGCCCAGAGAAACCGCCATACAGAGCACAGGATACCCAGCTATAAACACGATGCAGTTCGTTATTAGAGACAACATACTCTATGCGGCTTCCGTCCCTGGACGGACTCTCCAATGACCCCAGGTGCTCTAAAGTCTGTTGCTTGCCCGTTCAAGCTCAGAAAGCAGGAAGTAGTAGTATTCCATTATCGATTCGCCATAGCTGCACTACGACTACAGAGGACAGTGCCGAAAGACCCATTCCCCAGCAGCCGATGGGCAGCATGAGAGAGAAAGGCCATGGTGAAGAACATGAAACTACGATGCACCACCCGAGCTAATCGCTCCTGATACTCACAAGCCTCGCCCCAAACTCAAATAGGGTATTCAGTCTTGAAAGATGTCATCCAACGTAAACTATACTCGCAGCCGACCTTTCCCCGTTCTTAGAACTTAATCTTCTTATGCTTTTTCCTCTGCCTCTTCTCAGCCTGCCCGGGCGCAGTCTGCGGCGTAGACAGAGTCGGAGTAGGCGCCATCGATGAGGATCCTTCTGTAGTCTGAGCAAATTCAACACAATATCATTCTTGGCACTTCTGTAACAACCTAGCGTCCTAATACCTTGTAGCCAGCTGCTGCCATTGCTGCTTTCTCTCTGTCCTCGTAAGACATCAATTGCTTCCTAATGAAGTCCGCGGACAGAGTTTGATCGTCCGCTTCCATCTCGCTCGGATTGATAGCCATGGTTGTGCCACCACCTGGTGTAGCGGTACCACCTACCACAACAAGGCACTGTTCACACATGACGAACAAAGCTAGCGTTCCGTAATGCCTTACTACCCAGTGGAGTCGTGGCTGCGGCGACGTTGTACACATGCGAGCTTGGGAACAGCGCTGAGGCTTGGGTAGGAATATTCTTCTGGGGAAGGACCTGAAATACAGAGCGCTTAGATACTGCAGCACACCGCGGGAAGAACGATTGCATGGGAGGATACACTTGCCGATGTCACTCAGAGTCTGGTTACCTTATAAAGCTGATGGGTAGGAGTAGCAGTAGCGCTCGCCACGGACTGGATCCCTCCACGGATATCCACTTGGCCGGGGGTGCCGATACCAGAAGTGATAGAGGTGATACCACCGACGGACGTGACACCAGAGGTGTCCAGATTGACCAACGGCGTCTGCGTTCCGAGGGGCGTCTCCAAACCACCACGGAGAATCGGCGTCTGAGTACCGCCTCCTGAAGATCAAAGAATAGAAATCGAGCTACACATATCATCACAGTCAAGGGAATAGAACTATAGCCAATATAAGGGAAACTTCCACGAGTGTGAGAGACCGAGCTACTCTTCAATCATGATTCGATAGAGAACTGCAGCAGCAGCGACAAGGAGAACAACGATCCCGAGCCAGAGAGAACATAAGCCCAACGCGAACCTTCTTTCCTGGTAGGCCTGCCGCTTTCCTCCTCGTCCACATCCATAACCTCCTCGTCCTCAGATTCGTCAGAGCCAGCATCGGATGCTTCAGACAGGAACTCGCCCCAAAGATAATCCTTTTCATCTGACGAAGAAACTTGATTTACAATGGTACACATCTATCACTCATCGTTGAAAGTTGTCAGCAAAAAATTTTTTTCTCAACTGCTAGGGTTGCATATACTTCTAATTGAGAAACTCACAGCTCCTCTCATGATCAACCACCAGGAAAATGTCGAAGCTGTGAGACTGCCGACAAGAGTCAGATGAACTTGAACAACGCGAATTCTCCTAAACATTACCATGACCAGGATCCACTTCTGTGTCTCCTTTGATCCTATCCGTTTCAATATTCCAGTTACCGTATAGTGGATTGCCGTATTCATCAACAGGCGGACGTCCCCAACCTGACAGGAAAGCACTGGCAAAAAGATAGGATCTTCCCGCGCAAGTTCGATAGTTGCTGACACGCTCGTACTTGAGAGCATGCATAGCACATCTAAACGCTGATATTTCGAGATTGCATAAAACAACTAACAGGGGTTGAAAATTCTCAGAGACTTCGACTATTCCACTACTCCATGACGCATATATTCATGTAGCCTTCCCTCACCTCCTGGATGATAGCCCCAGTCTCCCCCAGCGGGTATAGGAGCATTCAAACCAGGGACTCTGAGACCTGGATAACTCGGTGGTGGTCCATAACGCTGCATATTGAATAGCCATGGCGGCGGACCACCCTCCTGAACGAGAAGGGAACTTCGCCACGAGCACGCCAGAACTAGAAGCAAGTACTCACCTCCATCCCGAGTGCCTCCCTCAAAGGCTCCGATACCTTGCCAGGTTTCTTATTGATCATCCGAGATTCATACTCACGTCCTTCGTAATACCTGTCCATAACGTTAGCAAGCAAACACAGATGCGTTTCGGTACTCTACTTACATATCCCCGTGCTTGGTGAGATAAGGGCAAGGCGTGGCATATCTAAGTATCACAAAGTCCGTACACCATCGTGTTCTGCTGGAGAGATGCGGCACCAAATCAATGAGTGTGGAAACGTGACTCAAACCACGGAAAGTGTATGACAAATCAAAGAATTCCATGCAACTCCTAACATCTTGAGAACAACTGCTCCAATTGAAAGTTTTATAAGTCCAAATCCGATTCGAAATTTCAAACTCGACCATGACCTTCTCGAGGCCCCCCTTCTTCCCACGAGACACTACTTGAAGAAAGCATCGTGCAACACGTTGTAATCAATGTCCAACTTGCCGACTTTGGGACGAATCTTTTCTCGTGACTTCGATTTTAGCGTCTTCTCTTCTTCGGCCTCCAGAATAGATTGTCGGATCTACACAAGAGATAGTCTCCTCTCGACGTTAGTGTGACTGATAGCCTCATACTACCTTAGCAATACCAGTTTGTTCGATGTAAGGCGGCAATTTATATCGTGGCTTCTCGCTTCCCCTCTTGCACGCCATGTAGCGTCGCTTGCTGTTCCAATGCCTGAAATGACCCTGTTGCCGTAAACACGGCGCATCGGGACTCACCTGGGCACCGGTACAGTGTTGCGAGTGCTCTTGATATGTACCAAAAAGAACGGGTCGCTACCCGAGTTATCCCACGACTCAACCACCTAAGAGAAGAGAGTCCGTTCATGGTAAAAGTGATCGAGTTTACATCTGGTCTAGTGACTAATTCCTTGAGCTTAACCAAAGGGATCCTGGAGGCATCGCGGATCTGCTTGCTGGTCCAGTGCGGCTGACCATTCTTATCGACATGACCGTAGCCCAAGCTGTCCATCCGTCGACCCTGGGAAAGCCAATAATTATAACGAGAACACTAGGCACTACCTCCTCTTGGAATTTCTGCAAGGCGGTCAAACCCCCGTCTTTTTGCTCCTCTTCATTAGACTCCTCTTCCTCGTCTTCGCCCACAGTGGGCTGCAACTTCTCGTACCTAGGATAAGCCGTTAGCACCTACCAAGCCGACTCCACATGCAGTACGCCGCCTTGAACTCCTCAGGTAGAGTATGTACAGTATACTCAATATCAACCTGGTCCTCATCAATTGTATCAGATGGAGTCATCTTGTCTTTCTCCCTATTTTTGTCCTCGACAGCTTTTTCCTGAGTGTACGAGCCGTCAAGATGCGGTACATCACTCCCCATCTCAGTGAACTCATTGGTCCTATCCCCAGCCCAATTATCAATCTAGATACTCTCGACGACGAAAGATCCGCGAAACCCCTCCAAAAACTTGATTTCCACACAGTGTTCTCCCTAGTTCCACATGAAAGTGTGAAAATTCAATGCAACATTTCGTCCAATATAACCTCTCTTCTTCTTTTTCGGGCATCCTTTCTCTTAAGAGCTCTCTTCACTCGAGCACGCTCCTCCCGCTGCGCTGCAGTGAGTGCCACCATTGAAGAGATGAGGTACTACACTGATGAGAAAATTATAAGTTCCTTGTTTCCGTCAAGTATGCAAAAATTAATCAAATCGATCATACGGGCGAGCGCTAAATTTGCGAGATTTAAGTTTTGAATCCAGCTTGCTCTTTCGCACGGAATTTGAACTAAAGAGAAGTTGTTTTTATGGATAAGAACGGCCGATGGGATCAGAAGGACCAGTGGACACGGGTGACCGTCGGCAGTTGGTCGTGATGTGCCGACGTATTTTAGTTGTGACAATTAGACTTCACAAGGTTGGCAATGATACCCGCTTCGTTGGGGGGTCCATCTGTATGCACCTCAAACCCTTTACTTGGAAGTGACGGCTTCACGAAAAATGTTCACGCGTTTGAACCGCAATTCATCGATCGTTCGAAGAAAGATATCTTTTCGAAATTTCCTAGCGACAATTGTGTTGGCCGGGACGAAGTATCATCTGTCCTTCTTTGGTCATATCGGGAGCTCTCGGCTAGGGTGTTGCGGTGTTGGTGGTTTACGTGGTTCGTTAGAGAGCGTAGGTCTTTCCTCATACCGCAATGGATCGCATTGATGTTTTCAGTGTTCCTTTTGCACCTTGTAAAATGGCAGCAACCAACCCGGTTGGTGATGGTGCTTCCATGGACTCCTCATCAACAGCACAGAGTGGCGTTCTCACTCTTAGGAATATTGCTAGCGGCGCAGCTCTCGCTGTCGTCAGTGGTGCTCTTGCCTACAGTATAGCTCTCAAGAGAGGTAATTCTGCGGACTCTACAGCGCACCGAGAGGCCAAGCTCGGCCCACCTGTACCGCGGCAGTCGCATGAAGATCCTGAGGTCCTAAAGGCCTTGGCAGCTACTCGAACGAGCCACATGAAAGCTTACGATGGTGCTACTGCTGCTTCCTATGTGGCATATCATTTGTCCGACTCGGTCTTCATCTACCCCATCACTCCCTCCACTCCTCTCGGTGAGAATTGCGATCAGTGGTCGGCTGCTGGTGAGATTAATGCTTACGGTCAAGTTACTGTAGTAAAGCAGATGCAGAGTGAAGCGGGTGTTGCAGGCGCTTTGCACGGCTCTTTGGCAGCAGGTGGTCTTTCCTCGACCTTCACTGCCTCCCAGGGTCTTCTCTTGATGATACCCAACATGTACAAGATCGCTGGTGAGCTTCTTCCTTGTGTATTTCATGTGCCGGCAAGAGCGATAGCTGGCCAGGCTCTCTCCATCTTTGGCGACCATTCCGATATCATGGCTATTCGCCAGACCGGTTGGGCTATCCTCTGTGCTAGTACCGTGCAGGAGTGCATGGACATGTCGTTAGCGGCTCACATTGCTACGCTAAAGTCTAGGGTTCCGTTCGTTCACTTTTTTGACGGATTCCGTACTTCCCATGAAATTCAGAAGATCAACGATATGACCACTGAGCAAATGGAGTTGGTCGCGAAGATTATGGCCAAGGAGATTGATGCTCACAGGGAGCGGGCGCTCAACCCCAACCACCCAACGGTGCGAGGCACTGCTCAGTCGCCTGACATTTACTTCCAGAATGTCGAAGCGGCTAATCCTTACTACAACGCTGTTCCAGAGCACGTCCTGAACTCTCTCGAGATGGTAGAAGCTGTTACTGGTCGCCATTACGATCTTTTCGACTATGAGGGAGATCCAGAGGCTACACACGTGTTCGTGATCATGGGAGCTGGTGGTTGTACTGTGTCGGAAACCATAGCTTACCTGAAGACCCACGAGCCTCGGTATAAGCTGGGTTTGCTTCGTGTAAGGCTACTGAGGCCTTGGTCTGTCTCTCACTTCCTAGCGGCTCTTCCCGCTACTGTTAAACGCATATGCGTATTTGACCATTGTAAAGAATCTGGGGCTATCGGCGAGCCTCTGTATGTCGACGTCTGTGCAAGCATTCAGAAGTCCAAGAGGTCCGATATTCTCGTAAGTGCGCTGAATGACCGTGTTTCGGACTCGGACTTTCTGCCGTCCTTTTCAGGTCATTGGGGGTCGTTTCGGTCTCGCCTCCAAGAATTTTTCACCCGGCCAGGTTTATGCCGCTGTTCAGAACCTCGTTGATACGAAGGTTCCGAAGTCTCCCTTCACCGTTGGCATCGACGATGATGTCACTAACTTGTCTCTAGCTGTTCCTTATGAAATTGATGTGGCTAACCCCGCCACTACCCAGTGTATGTTCTGGGGCTTTGGTTCTGATGGTACGGTAGGAGCCAATAAGAATGCTATCAAGATCATAGCTGATAACACTGATCTCTACGCACAGGGTTTCTTTCTGTATGATGCTTTGAAGTCTGGTGGTGTTACGTTGTCTCACTTGAGGTTCGGTCCTCTGCCGATCGACTCACCCTACGAGATCACGAGTGGTTGCGAGTATGTGGCGGTTCACAAGAAGGAGTATGTTAACACCTTCGATGCCTCGTTAATCTTGGGCGCCAGCAAGTGTGGAAGTATTATCGTCCTCAATGCTCCTTGGTTGACTCTGAACGATATGGAGGCTAATTTGCCACCAAAGTTCAAGCGTCTAGTGGCTGACAAACGGCTGAAGTTATATGTCATCGATGCTAACAAGGTTGCTAAGGAGTCGGGCATGGGTCGCTTGATCAACAACATCATGCAAGCTGTGTTCTTCCGTCTTTCTGGTGCTCTTCCGTATGAGCAGGCGATGCCGCTCTTCGAGCATGCCATAGAGAAGACCTACAAGAACAAGGGAGCTGACGTTGTGAGGAAGAACCTCTTGGCTGTTAGTAACGCCATCGACAATCTTAACGAGATTGATGTTCCTTACACCAAGTGGGCTAAGTGTGAAATGAAGGATCACGAAGTCCTTCGTACTGGTGAGGAGCCTTCCTTCGTCCGCAGCGTACTGGATAAGATCCATACCAGACTCGGTGATAAATTGTCGGTTTCGGCATTCGCGCCTGGCGGAGTTGTGCCACTCGGTATGACTCAATGGGCCAAGCGGGGCGTGGCTCAGGCGATCCCCGTCGTTGATGTGGACAAGTGCACCCAGTGCAATAAATGCTCGGCTATCTGTCCTCATGGTGTCATCAGACCGTTCTTGGCATCCCCTCAGGAGCTTGCATCAGAGAAGACTCCTTTGACGTTTGTCACCAAGCCGGCCACTGGTGGTAACGAAGCGTCTGGGTTAGCCTTCCGCATTCAGGCATCTCCCCTAGACTGTACTGGATGTGAAGTCTGCGTGAACGCTTGCCCTGACAACGCTTTGGCTATGAAGCCTCTACCTGATGCCATTGCAGAAGGTCATAAGGACAACTGGGACTTTGCGATGACCCTGGAGAATCGAGGAGATCGTTTCGATGCCCACACGTTGAGGGGGTCACAGTTCCAACAGCCTCTATTGGAGTTCTCCGGGGCCTGTGCAGGGTGTGGGGAGACCCCGTACGCCAAGCTATTGACCCAGATGTTCGGCAAGCGCATGCTCATTGCTAATGCTACTGGCTGCAGTTCTATATGGGGAGCAACTGCTGGGTGGGTCCCGTACACGGTCGAGAAAAAGACTGGCAAGGGACCGGCTTGGGGCAACTCTCTGTTCGAGGACAATGCCGAGTACGGCATGGGTATAGCGGTGGCTCAGCAGCATAGGCGAGAGCAGTTGAGACTCAGGGTGCAGGAAGCATTAACTGATGAGAGCATTGTCAAGGGAGAGCTGAGGTTGGTTATGAACCAGTGGTATGAGAACTTCGACGATGCTGAGGCATCGTCTCGATTCGGTGAGAGGGTTGTGGAGCTACTGAACCGCGCTGCTGAAGAGAAGCCACTCCCTGAGTGTCTCGATGCATGCCGTCGACTATCTGATATGTTCGTCAAGAGCTCTGTATGGATTATGGGTGGTGATGGTTGGGCTAACGATATCGGATACGGTGGAATTGACCACGTCCTGGCACTGAATGAGAATGTTAACATAGTTGTGATGGATACTGAGGTTTACTCGAACACTGGTGGTCAAGGCTCGAAGGCAACGCCTATGGGAGCTGTGGCGAAGTTCATGCGGAATGGCAGGGACTTGCAGAAAAAGGATATCGGGCATCTGGCTATGTCATACCCGAACGTCTATGTTGCTTCGTGTTCGATGGGTGCCAACTACTCCCAGACTGTTAGGGCTTTCCACGAAGCTGAGAAGCATGTGGGTCCGTCGTTGGTTCTATGTTACTCTCCTTGCATCGAGCATCGCATCAAGGGCGGCATGACTCATATGTCGCAGGATCAGAAGGCTGCTGCGGAGTCTGGTTACTATCCTTTGTATCGCTACGACCCTACTCTGATCGAGCAGGGTAAGAACCCCTTCCAGCTCGACTGCAAGAATATCAAGCCCGAGGCCTTGGATCCCTTCCTGAGGAATCAAAACCGCTACGAGCAGTTGGTGAGGCGTATGCCTGAGCATGCCGCAGAGCTTCAACAAGGTCTCAAGAAGTACATCACGGAACGCCATCAGCAGCTATTAGCAGCATCTGCGGAAGTTGTTCATGCCGCGGATGATCTCAGTGCTGGTCTGGGCGCTGGAGTGCGGGTATATTATGCTTCGGATAC